AATTTTGTGTGAAAATGAAAAATATTTAAATTACATTAGTATAAAAACATTTAGGAATTAGTAGGTATATTACAGTATCTCATGCAGGTGTGACCAAAAATAAACATATGTACTGTTTGCATATGTAAGGTATAAGGACTAACCTTGCTGAATAACGAAATTGAACGATGGTCCAAGGTGTTGTTCTTTACAGTATTCAAATCGATCACTGTTTTGAGAGTCGAATAAATATCGAATGGGGTAGTAAGCGTATTTAAGTTGTTTACGAAATTCGTATAATACTGTTTATATTTTTTTCGAAACCATTTCGGAAAAGTAAATGAAAAAAAGGGCAACCTCTCCTCCTGCTTTCCCTGAATGGTATTTCTTATACTGGCAAATCTGAAAATTAGGATTAATACACAAAAAATACAAAGGGATATTTTTACACTTAAGGTGCGAATTTTGTTCAAAATATGAATTAAATTTTATAAATTATAAATTATATGTTATTCGTTCGTAAAAAAAATATTTTTATTTAAAAAATATATTTTATTAATGGAACAGTAAATAGAAGAACAATGGAAGTCAAAAAGAAAAAGGAAAGATAAGATTTAGGTCAGTTTTTGAGATATGAAGGGCTAGTTAGAGATATGCTAGAGGCAGAAACAGGAATAAAGAGTAGCCGAGGAATACCTAGATTAGATAATTGTTCGTAAAGATATATACAGTTAGGGGTGTGAGATGTTGTAGTTTTCGGGAAATGCAAAGAAAGTTAGTTAATCAGTTAGTTATATGAAACAATGTATTAATTAAATTGTACCTGTGTCCATGATCAGACATCAATATCAGGATTGTGTTGTTTAAATGTCCCTTATCATTTAATTCTTTGAGAAATTTATATAAATCGTCATCGGCAGCACCGATTAAGTTATAAGAATCGTGGGACAACTGGCCGTGAAAGCCGAAAAGAAACTTAGGCCTGTTTCTATAGACTGAAAAAAACTGAAAACAAAGAAACTTTGTAAACGAGTTCAATTTTATTAAGCATTTTTGCGTAAACTCACGTGTTTTATGTAGTTAAACATAACTACATGTTGCGGAGTACTACCGGAGCACAGTGGCGAAGAAAACCAACTGTGACCTTTTTCAGCAATATAATAAGTTCGGAAATAATGATCTGTTGGTACCTCCTGTAACACTAAAGTTTTACTATCTTGGGTAATAAGCCAGATAAGCACAATTAAAAAAAAAATACCGAATTTCGTACCTCATGGGTACGCAAATCCACCACAACCACAATCTACTTTCTTGTCATAAAAATAGAATAAATATGACTCTTGTGGTTTCTAATTAAGTACGAAAATTCAAAATATTTACTGGAAAATTATTGAGAATCACGCTTTTAATACAATTAATTTATCATATTGTCATTTTAGTTAAATAAGATTAAGATAACACTCAAAAGAGTTTCACAAACTTTTAATGTGCGACATATTCTCTGCCATAACATTGACTTCATTAGATGAATTGAGTAAATAAGTTCTACAAATAACTGGGGTTGTATTTCGTTAAAATATATTCAAAAGGGGGAATTATTACCCTCATCGCAGTTGTTCAAACGTAATCTTAATTTTTTAAATCTATTTATTTCAAGTTCTTCTAACACGGTTAATTTTTGCCCTTCATTACATATGTTCGAAACTTTTAAATTATCGTTAAAACAATGTCCTTCATCAATAATATGATTGGCAAAGGTTGAATCAGTTTTTGTTTTTATATAATTAACATTTATATGCTCGAATAAGCGTTTTTTAAAGTTTCTGCCTGTTTGTCCAATATAAACTTTAGGGCAGATGGGCCAAGCTTCTGACTATCTTTCTTTATTTTTAACAAATTTGCCCATAAATCATTGGTTTAATGTAGGTATTATTGAAGAATAATCATTATTTTGTGAAATTTGTTTAATAGTATTTAATTTTTTATTATTTGCATTCAGAAATGAAATAGTAGAAATAGTGTAGGGAGATACAACAAAAAAAATGGTTAAATTTGAAGGAGTATGGTAGATATTATACCTTGAAGCCTTTCAAACGATAAGTGAAAATTCCAGTGTCTGGAGTATCCTCTAAAAATGCAGTGACATAGCCATTTCGTTTAAAATCATTCCAAATAAAAGGATAAACATTAACATAATTAGCATTTGTCACCCTTTTCCGAGTCTCTGGTAATTCTAGTTCTGTTTTACCCGTCAGAATTGGTATAAGGGCTTGAGGCGTTCCATCCCCAACTATATTATAACTGAAATATAAATTATACTTAATATCGCACATTCGGTGGTATAAAACGGAGAAATAGCAAACCCTTTTAGTATTAGTCCTTTTAAGGTTTCCGTTAGGTATTTGTAACTTTTAGGCAGTTTACGTATGAAAGTGTTTCGTGAAAGAGAATCAAATCCAAACATTAGGACGTTCATTTTAAACGAATTGTCATTTACGTAATGCCATCCTGTTCGATCAAAAATACTACTTTTGAGTCTTATTCCTGTCAAGACCGCTTTCCAGATTCTTCCAGAATCAGCGGAGCACGCAACTTTGACCTGTACAATATTCTTATTACTTTTAACATTTTCACTTTCATTAAGAAATGTTATAAGTATAAGTAAATCAAATAATAATTATTTTTAGTTTTTAATTAATTAGCTTAAAGAATTTAATTACAAATTTTCTCTATAATGATGATATGGATTCGGATATGTACCTATATCTACGTAATTTAGTAATTCGGAAGTTGTGTTTTGTACATTAGATTGCAGGNAAAAAAAAATATATTAATATTTCACTGCTTGATGTGCCATGTCCGGTAAAAAGAAACCTTTTAATTAACCAAAGAGTAATTTTGTTAACCTAAGTTGTTCATTCGTAAATTTTAAGTTTGTTTTCAGTGCAGCAATTTTATTAATTCACTAATTAAGTAAATAGACGTAAGGTGTAAAAGATTATATATTTTTACTAATGAAACTGAAGGGCTGCTGTGTAAGAACGTAACTTGTTACTTTTAAATAGTGTAAGAAGAATCAAGGGTATTAATGGGCATCTGTTTGGTGTTTATTACAATTTTTGTGGCCATAGACTTTTATTTTACATTTATAATATAATTTAGAAAATTTACTAGATAAATATCGCTAGATATTAATTTCAATTTCAATAATTTGTACAACAAGACAAAACGCCTTTTATAGGTGTTTTGAAAGAATAGTATTTTGTAAGAATTTAGCATTAATCTAAAATGATTACAAATGTTAATGCACCACATACATTTTCACTTTTCTTTTAAATTAGCGCTCAATTTTTAATGTAAATAAAACCCATATATATATAAACGATTGAAACCATACTGAGGATGACACCTTAAGTGTCGAAATATGTTTTAGGTTTCTAAACGTTGTTTTTGTTTTAGTGTTTTATTAAGTTTTGTTCTATAAAACTACGTAGAGTAAAGAACAGGAGATATAACATTTCAATTTTTCAGGGGACATTCCCAACGTTTGACCACACTGTAAAACTTCACATATAGAGCGCTATAATTAAATTTGAAGTTCTGCGCATCTCAAAATTATTCTGTGTAATGAGGGATAAAATAATTAAATGGGATCAATTGTCAATCCTGTACTTTGGGATATAGTGATGCTCCCTGTTCTTTACCCTTTATACACAGAACTCCATTTGATTTTTTTTAATGTCCCTCAGTCATTTGTTTCCAGAAGTAGTTTAAAGACTGCAACAAAAAAGTTTGCTCATTTTTAATATAATTTTTATATGTATTTTTTGTGCTGTCCATTATTATGTGTAGGGTTCCAAAGTTTATTTATAAGGTATAAGACAGTAGTTTATTTTATTTATATTAATAAATAGTTTTAATCAGTCAGCAGAGATTTCAAATAAGAAAAAAGTATCTTTTTTTTTATTCAGTTATGTCATTGTAATTTAGGATCAGAAACATTATTAAAACGATTTTACAGTGTACGGGGAGAATCAACTTAACTGACCGTATGTGGCAACTAGACAATTATAATAAAAAATATATTTTTTTTGGGAGCACTTGTCTGTAATCTGTTTTCAACGTTCATGTACGATTTTTTAAAAGGGTTGTCTTATTTAGTTTTTGTGCGTTTTATACAGGGTGAAATTAGAATCTATTAAAGTGAAGAAGACAAATACTGGCAATGCGTTTAAGTTGTCTTAACTGCTGCTACGATGATCTCTCTTTTTGTTGACTTTGTACATTTGTTATTTAACATTCGTTAAATGGGTTACCATCAATGTTAAATGAGGGTATGATAATCACAATCACATTGTAGTCTTAAGACTATTATAGTTAACAATAAAATTAGTTCATTAGTTTTTATTATTTATTATTTCTGGTCTCGCAAATATATCGCCCTGTATATCTGAAAAAATCGTGCTGGATTTAATAGGCATGTACAATTATTCCTATATTTTTTTAAGTAAAAAGTTGTGGCATTATTTGTTCATTCATTTAAATTTTTAATTTTAGACTGGTTTTATTTTGTTATTAACGATGAACTCGATGTTATTTTCTTTTATGCGTTTCAATGCCTTAAATACGTTAGTATTGCACACATGTAAATATTATCAGATTCCTTTCACTTTTTGTTGTAGAGCTAGGTCAATGTCAGACTAAAAACGTAGATATTAAATTTTAACGTCAGCGGTTTAGTTTAGTTTATGCCGGTCGGAAAATTATTTAAATATAGTAATATTAATAAACGAATCTGTGTGTGAGTATGGGAACAAAAAAATTGTTTTGAGTAAGTTTTTGGATATTTCATTTCTCCTTTTTAAAAGTTTTTATGATATAAATTTATTNTCTGATTTATCCGGCTGAATTTTGAGATTGTGTTCTCGAAGTCGTCTTAAAACATTACGCAATTTATTACAGTGGTCTTCTAAGGAATTCCCAAAAATAATAATATCATCCAGGTATAAGAGACATTGTGTAGGGGTAAGACCTGTTAAGACGTTATTCATCATTCGCTGAAAAGTGGCTGGTGCATTAGCTAGGCCAAATGGCATTCTTAAAAATTCATAATGAGAAGTGGGAGTGGAAAATGCAGTTTTGGGAATTGAATTTGGATGAACTTCTATCTGATGGAATCCGCTAGTTAAGTCAAGTGTAGAGAAATATTGGGCGTGTCCTAGGTTATCTAAAATTTCCTCTATATTTGGTAATGGATGTTTGTCTGGGATAGTGATTTTATTTAAATTTCTATAGTCTACGACCATTCTCCATTTGGTTTTGCCTGAACTGTCAACCTTTTTAGGTACGACCCAAATTGGAGAAGAGTATGGGGAACTACTTGGTCTAATAATTTTCTGTTCTAACATTTTTGATACCTGTTTATTTACCTCTTCTTTGTGTACATTTGGGAAACGGTACGTCTTAGTGTGTATCGGGTTTTCATGGGTAGTTTTAATTTCATGTTTTACTAAAGAAGTAAAGGTTAATTGGTCTCCTTCTAAATAGAAAATATCTGAAAAGTCATAACATAATTTAAGGATTTCGTTACGCTCCTCACTGTTCAAATGGTCTAGCCTTAGATTTTCTTTTAATTTATCAAATCTACCATTTCTTTTAATTATATTCGGTTGAAATGCGTGGGTAGGTGCGTCCTCTAAAATTACTTTATTGACTGAAAATTTTAACTCTTTATCTGTCAAATTTACTGCAGTGGTGAATATATCTTGATTTTTGTCTACTCTAACTAGGCATTCAGGAATTAAAAGTTTATCACTTATATTCATTTTTGGCAAAATACCTTCACTTCCCGGTTTTAAGTTAGTTTTTATCCTAATTATTTGTTCGGCACGCTTGTGAAGTACTATATGATTAAGCACTTTAGTTTCCTTTTTTAAATGAATCGGGATCTTGTCGTTGTTTTCTAAGAAAGAAATGTTATTGTGATGTAAATCTAAATTGCAATTCAACGTTTTAAGAAATTCAATGCCTAGTATTCCATCTAATTCTATATCTAAATGTGCGACATGAAACTTGACGTTTTTTTCCTTGAATTTTGTTGTGATGGAACCTAATGTTTTAAACGAATCAGCATTTAATCCTGAAACACTAACAGTATCTATAAAATCTATAAATTTTTTCAATTCTGGTTTATATTTGATCAAATTTATAGAGGCACCTGTATCAATCATTAATTTGACTGGAATACCTTTAATTTTTGAAATAATAAATGGAACAATTTCTGTCATTATTTTGGTAGTGTTAATCTTAAAATTACATAAGGTTGAGGGATTTTCATTTAGTTGAACGAACAACCCTCTTCTGCTTCGTTCACATCCAAGTTTAAATTGTCCAGTTCAACTTCATTATCTTCAGGATCAGATTCGGGATTTTCAGTTTGGATCTCGCATGTGTTAACTTTTGGGGGTTGCTTAGGAAAACCTTTGAAGGGGGTACCAAAAGAGCGGCGATTTGGATTATTATCGTTATTACTATTAAATGATCTATTAAACGTATTTGTTGATGAAGCACTCGGCCTAGGAGATAACTCATTACTACTACTGGTTTCTTTTTTGAAATATGTGTTTTTGTTGTTATTGTTTATTACTCTATTTTGAGAAAGTTTATTATTATTAGATTTAAATTGAGCGAATTTCTCCTGATCTTCACGTTCTTTTAACCTTTTATGCGCCGAATACGCATAGGAAAAAGCTACCTCTAAACTTTGCGCTTGAGCGTGAGCAATAGATATTTCAACATCTTTCGGTATATTATTTAAAAATGTTGTTTTGGCTATTTTATCTATAAACTCTGACAGAACATCAATTGGGTTTGCATCCTCAGAAGTGTTTTCAATAGCTACTGCGATAAGATCATCGCGAATTTTGGCAATTTTGTTATAAGTTTCTTTAATGGAAAGCTTATTTGTATTTCTAAATCGTGTGAGGTCTGCAATTAAACATTCAGCGGAACGTTCAAGTCCGAAATTAGTAATTAATGAATTTTTGACACTTAACCAGTTATCATAATGCCTTGCGAGAATCACTCGTCCTGCACGACCTGATAACCGATTTAAAATAATTCTAAATAAATATTCTTGGTCACTGGCTTTTGCTTTTTCGAAAACAAAATCTACTGTTTCAACAAATTGGTGTAATGGAATATTATCACCATCAAAATTTGGAATTAATTCAGACAATTCTTTCCTAGAATAACTGTCTCCTTGTTCGGTCATGATTGACACAAAATTATTCGATAATAAAAGCAATTAGGGAATAGGGAAAGGATTTTCGTACAAAAATATGAAAATGGCAAATATCTTCAAACCACCTACCTTGAGTAGTCCACTAGTGTGACGATGGTTAGGATGATTCGAAACATACAGCTGCTTGGTCTGGTCCTCGCAGGAGGGAAACGGGGTGAGACGTCCTTTTGACAGTCTTCTTTTTCGGAGGTCTTATTAGGCAAGGTCGAAGCAAACGGCTTCTAACTGCTAACTCGGCAAACGCACAAAACTTAAACGATGCACAGTTTTGGACAGTTCGTTTGGACAGTTTTTTGTTTCCGGTTTACCGAACCGACGAAAAGCAAACGGCTTCACGTAGTCACTTAGTAAATCGATTTTTAAACTTTATTAGAATCGGATTTGCCTTTACCTGACAAATCCTACTGACTGCGCCAATTGTTATATGCTCAAATTAAGGAAAAGTCTTTTTAAAAATATTTATTGAGCGAAGCTACAATACACACGCGGTGTAAGGCCTAGTCTACAGCTAGAGTGAAGCATCTTAGTGCAACAAACTTTATATATGGAAAAAATAAGCAAAGCTAAGCAAAATGACATATTATCATGTTTTGTTCCTATATTACTTATCTAACATATCTACGTAATTTAGCAATTCGGAAGTTGTGTTTTGTACATTAGATTGCAGGTATTTAATGCATGTATGATTTACTAAATTTCAGTTTCAGGATAAAAAAGAGTGCGAGACAACTGGCCGTACGGCTCACACTAGCGTGACTAATAAAAAGCGCGCTCTATAAGAATGCAACTATTTTCGGGAAATTATAATTAAAAATCTTGGCGCATCGGCAGATGCTTTGTTGTGAGTTTGCTATAATTTTACTTGCTGTGTATCCTAACAATAACTGTTATACTATTTCAAAATTGACTTACAACATCACTATCTCTAAGAATATAGACGGATGTTCTCATCGTCGATTTTCCTGATACTACAGTGAAGTCGTCTACTCGTATCTGATCAGTAAACGTACAAGTAATTTCTCCAAATTTCCTTTTTGCTTCGTCTTCAATTTTACATTCGGAATTCTGGAAATGTTATTAATTGATATGTAATCACTTATTACATGCAACGCAATTTTTGTAGCACATTATCCCAAAATATTACCTGATAGAAAATTTTAGATATTGAATATTCATCAGAAATTTGCAATTTTTGAGTTAGCAGTTGCGGTTTTCTTTTAGTATTTAATACCCACATTATACAGTACAGGCGAATTGAGAACCGAACACAGGGAAATTCTATTGAATACGATCATCAAAGGGAAGCATCATTTTTTAAAAAATACGACGTGGCATAGGGAAATTGCTACAAACTCTTTCAGCCATTTTTTCATTTAAATAATAAAGCAATGTAAGTTAAATAAATGCAATTTAAAGCCTTCAAAAGATTTTGAGAATTCGGCTAGTTTAGGACAGTTTTTACAGAAACAGGAGATATTTCCCGGAAAACGTGGTTGAAAAAAGATATTTCACACATTTACCAAATCATACATTTTCGCTTTTGGGATATAAAAAGAAAAAATGCCGACAAATGTGTACTGGTATGATATAAATATATGCATAATATTTTCAATTAACTGTTTTTTTATAACAAAAATTAGTGTTGTATGTTTTCTTCATGGGTACTTTATACATATAAACGTTGTTTGAATACCTCACATGATACCCACGGTGAACCTGCTGAACTACAGTCAATTGGTTGAACTTCTTCAAAAAATTGCATCAATTGGGGAGAATATACGGGCAAATTTGGTTGTTTGCAAGCCTTGGAAGTTGATTTTGCTTTAATATATTGATCCATTATCAGTCTGCAAACGTAAAATATTAATGCTATAGCTTGCAAGCTTTTGTTTTAATATGAAAAACAATTAAAAAAAAAATAAGTGACTCACATTCTCTTTCTTCTGTCAACGTCGTCGATGAGCTGATAGGAATTTATCCACCGTGTAACAATAAATATTAAAAAGAATATCATGCCACTCCAGACAATAAATTTACAATACGATTTTCTGATTTTGAAGACTGCCATGATTTAGTGCATTTAGGTATAAGAAATTATTCTGAAAATTGGTAAAAACTATCGCAAATTTATTAAATCAAATCTATTAAATGAAAAATTGGTTGTTTCTTAATAAGTACATACCACAGTTTTAATGCCGGTAACCCCAAATGTTACTAATATTATTTAACAATATCGTAGTTAAAAAGAAAGTCTACAAGTTCTGGTATATTTATGTGTGTCTCTGTATAGATATGTAGGTAATTCTACGTGTCTAGCAATTACTCCGTATCTACATGTGTGAACACTTCAATGCCATAAAGTAGGCGTACGTTAGGCTTTTTGATAATAAACAAATAATACAAAATATTTTACAATTTAACGATTTTGTAACTAAACCTTATAATATATATACTACAACTGTTGGTTTTTTCAAAATTGTTTGTTACAGTTTTTATTAATTTTATGGTTTCTCATATTTTTTCTCAGTATTTGCGAAAATGAAGAGGGAACATTTTTTGGGAGTAGATACGCTTAAAATTTCGGAAAAAATAGTTTTAAGGTCTTTTTTATTATTAGTGTACATGAAGAAACATTAATTACATAATTTGTTCCTTTTTATATCTAATTAAGATAACGCCTCTTCAATGGCAAACATTCAAAC